AGTTGTGAGGAAAGCCGTAGCGGAACAACGGCAGTTGCTTCTCAACATGAACACCGATGCCAACTGTGGGCATGTAGGGCGAGAACATCGAAAATGTCCTTGCCTCACTTGCGTCAAGCTTAGGCAGACTTTCCTTTATGAAGAGTGCAACATTCCCACGGTGCGCGTTCCTCCCACATCGTGGGAGTCGACGAGTCAGGTCGCACTCATGCAACGAATGTCACGCTGATTGGCCCAGTGCTGCAGCGCGGGGGTCGAAGTCGAACGCTTGGCTGCTTCCGCAGTCCGTTGGTGTCGGCACCTGCCGCTAACACGGCTCCGTGGAGTGGATTGCATGCTCGCGTGCGTACATATCAGCTGCCTTCGACAGTGTGCTGAACAGTGTATAAGGAATGCCTCGTAAACGCCGATTTATATCTGCCCGTTGCTTACATACCAGCTTGATGGACAGAGTGTACGGCCACATTGAACAATGCCGTGCAGACACTCTGCTGGGCACTTGATGATATTGTTACCTTATTTATCGTTATATACAATGCATACAACGAACGTGTTCATGCTTCTCTTCCGTGCCTCCCATCACAGGCCTTTCCCACCTTGTGTCTCATATGTTTCTTTACCCGTGACAACTCATGTTAGCTGCAATCGAAACGCCCCTGTCTTTACCAGATTTTCGAAGCTTTGCCGAAAGCGATCACCAGTCCTTCGAACAAAATGTTAATTACGCGGCGCTGAGGGTGCGAGTGCCTTGATGCATTGTGGCCAACCAGACTGTCGACCTGGTTAACCTCTCCGCTTTATCTCTCTATCGGATCGGGTGACGAGATGTAGGCGACTTGACATGTTTATGTGGGGTTTAACGTCCCAAAACCACCATGTGATTATGGGAGACACTGTAGTGGAGGGATCCATAAATTTCGACCACCTGCGGTTCTTTAACATACATCGAAAATCTGGGAACATGCGCCTACAGTAGACTTGACATGTTCGTTGAGGTCATTTATGTCAGGCACTTGCACGAAAACACCAAATAAATGCTCTAAATATCTACCATTACTTTATAGACGTCCTATGGGGCTCTACGGCTATATATCATTCATAATGTCCAAGGCGTTGACTTGGTAACTTATTAGCTTGCGAATATATTGTGATGACGCGAACATCGTTGGTGTGCAATAACCTTGTGTTTAGCAGAACGCATCAGCTTTTCAATGTCCCTACTTATGAAATACTTTAATCCATGTTAGGGGTCTGTCGGTCAGCGTAGAACGTATATACAACATTATAGCGTGTCATTGTATTTGAATGGGTACTTTACTTGACGCAACAACTTATGGGCGACGTGACAGTTGAACTATAGTTTATGACGTTCAAAGATAGGACTGCTTAGCTTTATTCGCCACAGTTAGAATCAACGACCTTTCGTCAATTTCACATCTGCTGCGTATGTAACTGCATCCTGTTGCGCCGGAAATATGAGCACTGCGGGTCATCGAAGAACACTGACAGATTAACATAAAAGAAATATGGGTAGGTGTAGCGTCCTGTTATTTACTGGAATAAAAAAAAACAAAACCTGCGCATGGTCGGCACATGTTCTTCGGCGCATCAACGAGCAGAGTTCATTGAATGGCTGTTCCAACGCAGCCGTGTAAACACGCTGAATCATCCAGGTCGGAACCGTCTCCACCGTAAATGCTAAGCTCCGAAATAAAGTAGGCACCTCAGCCGGGAACTGCGCAGGCTGGTTGTTAAGGAGGCGAGTGTGAAATAAACAGATATGGTATAAAAAAAAACAGTGGCGGAAACTATTTAAGCCACCGTGTACAGTTCTTCAGTTGTTACATAAGAGCTGGCTGGTTTGCTAGTTTAGAGAAGAACAGGCCTTTGCAGCATTTCTGGACAACGTGGTTCGATGTATTGCATTCTGTGACACATCAGAAAGTGAACTCACGAGGTCAGCAAACACGTGCAGTTGGGGAATTTGATATGCGATTAAATAAAGAGTTACTGCATGTGGACTTTTCTGTTGAGAAATACGTAGTGTAACCCTACGAGATGCACTCAAAACGCAAAACTGTATACTGTAACTAATGAACGAAATTTTTTAACGTTTAAGTGTAAGCGATATGTATTTTTGGCATTATACCGTTGTTTCTCCTTGCGTTTCGCGACCTTTACTTATTGACAAGATTAAAATGCTTGAACCGGAAACGATTGGCCCTTTTGTCCAAATATTAACTCAGGATTTCCTCATCTACCAGTATAGCTGTTATGGTTTACATTGAGCGAGTAGCACGTACTTGGGCTTGCGTAGTGGAAGACACTTGAATTACCAAAAGTCGGTAGGAAATCATGACCAAGAACAGAAAGAAATGCTGTTCCTTGTGTCACGAGGATGAAGAGCTTTATTACGCAGCAACCATTTAGTTCGCGCTGATAATATGCCACCACCACCATCATCATCATCATCATCATCAGCCTGACTACGCCCACTGCAGGGCAAAGGCCTCTCACGATCTGCCAATCAACTTGGTCCTGGGCTTTCTGCTGCCACGTTACACCTGCGAACTTTTGAGTCTCATCAGTCCACCTAAATCTCTGTCTCCCCTTCATGCGTCTGCATTCACTATAGGAATTCAGTTAGTTACCCTTAATGACCAGTGGTTATCCTGCCTACGTGCTAAAGTAGGTGGGCATGGCGCATGTCCATTTATTCTTATTGATTTGAACTTTGATGTCCTTAACCCTGGTTTGATTGATTGATTGTTTGATTGTTGTGGGGTTTAACGTTCCAAAATGACCATATGATTGTGAGAGATGCCGTGTGTGGAGGGCTCCGGAAATTTCGACCACCTGGGGTTCTTTAACGTGCACCCAAATTTGAGCAAACCAGCCTATTTTCGCCTACATCAAAAATGCAGCCGCCACAGCCGGGATTCGATCCCCCGACCTGCGGGTCAGCAGCCGAGTACCTTAGCCACCACGGTGGGGCTAGCCCCGGTTCGTTCCCTGACCCACTCTGCTCTCTTCTTGTCTATGAAAGATAATATGCCACGGACACCTATATAAAGGTAACGCACAATGTCATCAGCCTATATCAGCACGTTATTATAGCCTCACAGCTGGCACAATTGAAGAACCTGACGGCAAGCCAGATTTTCGATCTAGCCTGCGTGAATAGACCACATCGGCTGATTACCGACCTCGCTCAAAGAAGTGAAGTCTATATGTTCAATTTATCCGCGAGGATATCTGTTTATTCCTTGAATATGCAGCATGACCCACCTAGTCTTTCACTCTGTCCCTAAAAACAAGAACGTTGTGAGTGTGAGGGTGAATTAAGGTTCGTGTGTTGCGCACTGATTTTATATACGTGAATGTCTACCCGAACTTCCACCTCTGAAAGTATATGGCGGGGTCATTCGTGCTCTGTGAGCTGAAGGATTCGGCGTCCCGCTTTGAATGCCCTCGACTCGGCCGAGAAATTGCCTGCAGCCACCGCCCCCGCCGTCTTCACCTGGAAATTATCCGCGTTCGAGTTTTTTTCCCCTCCGCACCCTTGACCCAAACCCAACCTTGGTGCTGCCGTTCTTTTCGTGCGGCCTTTTGCGTCGCCAAGCACTGGTGAGTGGAAGGCCCATTGTGGACCTAAGTAGGGGCGGTCACTGCTCTTTGTGTGCTTAGCTTCACGCCAGCTGGATTAGTCACGTATACACAAACACGGCCGTCTCGTGCTATATGCACTTCCGAGAAAGTAGAAACACAGGCAATGTCTGGCTGGCCGTTACGAGAGAGCTCAAGCGTGTTAAATTAGCTGAACCGAGAGTCTGTTGCCTGCACAAGTTGCTACAATCAAGTCGTTCCACGATGGGACCCGATTGGGCGATGAGTGAGCGAGAGTTCCAACAAAATGAAATTAATTTTTCTTGTGATGCAACGTAAGCCGATTCAATTGTGTAGCCGTAGCTTGGCTACTGTCCTTGAACCACTTCTTGTTTTGATGCACCGACGTGATAAGTTCGTGCGGGACCATTTATTAGTTCGTTTCTTTGTAATGAGACCCCGTTAGAGCAAAGAACAATGCAATGTACTCACGTTTCATCACATGACCGGTGTGACGTCATTGACAAGTGCTGCCTATAAGCACAGACACGCACCGTCATGAGCACGAACGATGGGACTATTTCATCATCGCGTGCAACGCGTCATCCGAGTGCCCCTTTGTAGATGGTGCGCAGTGTGCACCGATGACGTGACGTGCGTGATAGTAAAATAACTACAACACAAGCAAACTGTGCATGTTCAGAGCACGGCCTGATATAGGTATACGCCTATCTGATACTGCACGCGCTTCCATGCTCACGACTGTATGCGGAATGCATATTTGATAGTAGTACAGATGAATTGCTTGATATGTGGGGTTTAACGTCCCAAAACCACGATATGATTATGAGAGACGCCGTAGCGGAGGGCTCCGGAGATTTAGACCACCTTGGAGTTCTTTAACGTGCACCCAAATCTGAGCACACGGGCCTACAACATTTCTGCCTACATCAGAAATGCAGGCGCCGCAGCCGGGATTCGGTCCCGTGACCTGCGGGTCAGAGCAGCCGAGTACCTTACCCACTTGACCACCACGGTGGGGCTTAGTACAGATGAACAAAGCACAGATTAATTGGAAATGAACAACGTGTGTACAGGGCAGCACTCGTCCTGTCCACCCTGTGCGCTTTCCGTCTTCGTCTCTACCGCTGCGCCGATCATGCAAGCATTCCAACAAGCGGAACTTTCCATTCAAATGTCGTACAAATGAGTTAGATAATCGTTGCCAGTGGCTTCAGCCACAGTACGTGACAGAACACATGCTTGAAGGAGCGAGTGTGCTTATCGAGAAGAGCATATAAAACGCGCAATGCTGCGGTGCACATCTTATAACGAGTACTTGTAAAATCCACGGTGTGCCGCGGCGTAACACGTAAAAGACAAAATGTACTTACCAAGTAAATCGACGAATTAGTTAACCTTTTGTTTGCTCGTTCTCTGTCGCAGACGTGGAAAAGGAGTGCGCCTCCCTGGAGAACGTGCCCTCCAACCTGTACGAGTCTGTGTGCGTCCCAGGTCTGGACGAGTTCTTTCAGCAGGGGGGAAGCTTTCCGATGCCGGAGCAAAAAGTCACGCCTGTCATGAATGGAGCCGCAGCGCCCACTTCGCAAGCCTACATCGACGGTAAGTGAAGGCGTGTCAGTTCTGGACTTCGTTGCGTCACGGCCGACTCTAACTGAACCGCTGTTGGACTGCAGATGCGCGGCTGTCGTCTCTGATAACCGAGGGAGATAAATTAAAAAAAAAACTGCGGTGGTTCGTGCTTGCACATCATCCGTGTCGCTTGGCTTGAATCGCTATCGGAGTTGTTAATCTTTTGCCGCCAACGAAAATTGCATACTCATACTGGGTGAACTACTTATCTTTTGATAAGCAAAGGATGAGTGCAGTCATCAACTTTAGCGAATTGATAACAGGTAAGGCTGCATCTAATACTGCTACACGAATTGAAGAGCTTAACGACTCGGGGCGAAAAAGAGAGAGAGAGGAGATGAACAACAAGAGAGAAGGCAGGGAGGTTAACCAGGCACATGCCCGGTTTGCTACCCTACGCTGTGGGAATGGGAAGGGGGCATGAAGATGAGAGGGAGGGGAAAGAGAAGAAAAAGAGAGAGAAAAATTAGGATTGTCAGTCAATCGGCTGGCGCGTATGCAGCGGTGGCACTACACAAAAGTTAAAGGCTGTCACGTAGGCCTGTAGTCCTCAAAGAAGAGAAGAAGCGAAAAAAGAAAGGACACCCATGGGACTCGTTTCATGCCACCCATTTTCTTGTCTTTGCGCGTTTATATTTATTTAATGCATCTTGCTCACGCAACTTTCAGCATACGTTGCCATGAACAGCGAATATGTACCCTGCAATCTTCGATGCAGAAAATCGGTGGCGCGGAACGCTGAAAGGAAGCCCGGTTTACTGGAATGCACGGCGTTGTAGTACCATGCGGTCTGGTCATTCGGGGCAGTCACTTCCGCTGCGTCTAATTAACGCACTTATCCGGGGCGGGCACTTTTTGAAACAAATCCCTGGATAAGCGTCTCGCCCTCGTGAGCCGACCAGAGGTCGCATATAGCGCGTCAAGGATCTGTAGGAAGGGAGTGGGAGGAGCTGCTCCCGTAATGGAGCCCAAAAGGCGACTTCCTCCTCCTGTTAGCGGCGCGCGTAGTGTAGTCTCACTTCCGCCGCTAATTACAGCTTCCGGTTCCAGCGTTATGCGTACGACTCCTCCCTTTTTTTCTAAAAGGGGGGGTCATAGCGGGCAATCGAAAATGACCGACTGATTCGCACGCGCGCCACCGCCACGGATCAGCGGACGCAAGCAGAGGCGATGCGAGGAGCACCCCGAGATCCTGAAGTGTGCCCGCTCTACTATGACGTCATTGGAGGCAAACCTCGTGATGCGGGGTCTCGGCTTGAGACACGTGACACGAGGCTGACAACGTAAGGACGTCTTTTTTTTTTTTTTTTTTTTTTGCTCCTAGCTTCGGAAACAGAGGTGTGCCTAGCGGATGCACGGGCCCGTGGGCTCGCATCCCATTGCGTGGTTTCTTCTCGCACAACGGGATGGTGCAGCCTCCTCCTCCTCTCTCTCTCTCACTCCTGGCTCACCTGTTGTTGCGGTGGTGAGCCGGTCGCTTTCTACCGGAAACGCGCGGTTCTTTTCTCCCCTCCACGTCTCGCTGTCACTCGCTGTCCGCTTTTTTTCTTCCCGTCTTCTTCTTTGTTGTCGCTTCTGATCTTTCCTCCTTTTCTATATTTTGTTGTCGCTGGGTGGAGTATGCTGCGGCATTTCTGAGCTTCTTCGTGTTCGCTCTGCCACTAGCGGAGCCGCCCTTCGGGTGTTTGTTTTCGACCCACGTTTTCTTTTATTTCTTCGCGGGGCTCTCCTGTTCGCGACATACTTCCTGCCCCCCCCCCCCCCCTTTCGACCATTTCTCGTCTTTCTGTACGTGACCAAACATGAAAGCAGAAAGAAAAGTAATGTTCGTTTTTGTTTCGATTGCTTTCCGACAATTGCGGGCGTTTTCCTAGTTCCACCACGGTTAGAGCACTCGTCTTAGGTGAGGACTTCCAGAAGTACCGAAAAAAAAAAAAGTTCGCTTGATTAGTTGGTGATCATTCTTGTAGACCCTTTTCAGGTGACGCTTAGGTGTCTCTTGCCCGCGTTTAGTTACTTTGCCCTTCAGAGTTTTGCCGAAGAGCTTGTTGCTTTCTTAGCGCAGTATCTGCGTTTGTATTACTTTTTTGCGTGTTGGTTTGATTTCTGATGCAGCCTTCAGTCACGTTCATTTACATGCTTTTTTCTGCTCCTTTTATTTAACTGGGTGGTTATACTGCTCTCAATAACCGAAGCGGTTTCCGGCGGATGTTTGTGTTGAGAGCCGCACCAGTGTCGCATGAGGTTTTCCCGGGTCTCGGGTCAATCCTCTCCCGACGCGTTCCACTGACAAGTGTGCTCTTCCACTGATACGCCCAGCGACCAGCGTATAGTGTCATGCTGATTAAGAAATGCAGCATGAAGAGTACTCGTTGGACGTGAGCTGAACTTTTTTCTACAGACGTACGCTAACTATTACATGTTATCAGGAAAGACCGATAGGTAAGATAACGATTAGTAGCGAGAAGTTAATCTCTCAGCAGTGCTTCGTCTGTCGTGTTTATTACTCCCTTTCACCATTGTCAGTCTTAGGTATCGTTTGTTGCGTGATTCATAGGGTTTAACGTCCCGAAGCAGTTCAGGCTACGAGAAATGCTGTAGGGAAGGACTTCGGATAATTTCAGTCGCGTGGGGTTCTTTAACGTGCACTTCAATTACTCAATGTACGGGCCTCTAGCAATTTACACCCATATAAATGCTACCTCTCTCCCTCCTCCCCCTCTGCTGGTACCTAATCTTTCGTATCAGAAGCTAAGCACCATACCCACTGGACCGTCGCACGGATGAACGATATGGTGTCACTCAACGAACAAAGCAAAAATTTACGACAAAAAAAAACTACAACACTTTTTTTTTTTTTTGCGCCTGCATGAATGCGTGCTTCATCGGGTACATGCGAAAATTCACCACCGTCTGTGCTCAAGTACAGACTGTTGGCTTTTTTTCTTAGAGCGGTGACAAAGCTGGACTGCAGCTCTCTGCAGCTTTCTGCGTCACAGCCCCACCGTATTTCCCCACAGAGATCCTATCTAGAAAATCCCCGTGATCTACTGCCGCTCGTGTGGCTATCGGTGCCAGATCCGTCTTCGAACCTGCGGAGATCGTCACTCAGCTCTTCGCACTTTTTTTTTCCACTCTACGCAAAAAATTGAGAAGTGAGCAGGCGAAATGGGCGACACCGTCAGTCAGGGCAGGCCGCGGTATCCCACAAAGGCGTCCGAACCTGCGAGATGAGGCTTTGCCGCTTCTCGCCGGCGTGTATATGCTGGTCGCACCACACCTGCACTGCAAACACGAGGGCGGTCGGCGATAGCGGCACTGGCGAGACCTCCCGCCTCTTCTCCACTGCACCTTTGGCCACGGGGGCCGACGAGTGGTTTGCGATCCTCGGTTTGTCGGCTTTGCGGAGCGCGAATTTTCCACTATGGTATATGTGTTGGCCTATAGCTCGCTTGGGGCGGGCGATGGCGCATGCGCGTTGCGTCTTCCATCAGTGAGAAGGTTCTGTCTGGTGCGAGCAGACCATCTTTGTTTCCGGCCGAGATAACCACACGTATAGAAGTGGTCCCATGTACGCCTCCACATACCGTGTTTTCTCCAACTCATAGACTTGCGATGGGGGCTGGAAGGAGATGTGCAGGGGGGGCACAAACCCAGCCCCATGCATTGGGGAAGGGGCGAGATGGGGCCGAAAATTCAGCCCCATACATCAACATCGCCCCCCTCTGAAAGGAAACCCTGCGCACGGTTATGGCCCTAGTGGTAACGTCCCCTCCTGCAGTGCCGAGAAATGAAGATCAGCTGGTTTTGAGTAAATTTCCTCGGGCCAAATACTGGAAACAGAGACAGTGGGATTGGGCGTGTTGGTATAACATAATAAAGGGTGCTTACCAGCGCAAACGACAGGGCAGTAGGGGAATGTAAAAACGAACAAAGCATTTCTCTAAAAGAATATAAATGGTAACGCTGTGTTTGCGTGCACCTTATACGAACGACCACTGTTCCCTTTACCTCATTCGCCAATCATGATAATTACACATCCATACAGTTCTAAGGACCAGGTGGCCTGTAATTTATCTCGTATAGTATATTTTACGATTGTTGAACCTGGGCATTTTCGGTGTATAATCACCGGAGGAAGTCCGTATATAGCGGACACAGGTTATTCACTCTGTTTTCGCACGATTCATCCGCATATTCATCGGAATTCCCAAATCATGCGCTGGAGGCTTCACTGGCTGGGCCATACGACACGACTAAACCCCTCCCCGATTCATTATCGCGATTCCTCAGCACACATGTGGCTGTTCTGCTGGCTCGGCTTTCCAGAGATGTGACAATGTGTGTGTTAGTCATTGAGATAGGATATACGTCAGCTTAGGCCTACTTACACTTCTGGGGGTTTTTCTTTTCTTCTTTTAACAAACATTTTGAACCAACCACCTGAGGTAATTTCTTGGTGCTCAGTACGCCCGTTATGTTCCCCACCTGGTATCCGATGTCATTGGATTCTATTACCGGCAGCTCGCGGTATCGAATCTAAGGCACAGCGGCCGCAGATTCGATGGAGGCGAAAGTGATTATTATTATTATTATTATTATTATTATTATTATTATTATTGATTCCTTTAGCACTGAGAGATCCAGGATCCCCTGCCTGCTTCGAAAGTTTTCTAAGCATTAAAAAAAACAACGAAACAGAATGTTGATGTTTTCTTTCCTTTGAAAGTATGGGCTCAAAAATTTTCGGAATTCCTGCAGCGTTGCTGTGTTAACCAGGTGCCAGAATTGCGATCGTCACTTGAACTGCGTTGCGAACGTGTGGTGCTGCCTGTATAGCAATCTGGCACGTGCCAAACTGGCAGCTTTCGCGAATGCCAATGCCAAAGGTCGAATCGTATAGGGAAATCATACCACGCTAAAACAAACGGAAAGCACAGTTCTCCCAGTGTTGAGCCGTATTCAGAATTCGAATACGGTGATGATAGGCAGCCCCTGGAATAGAAAGAAAAGATGAGACAACGCAAGGCGAGGCGATGAGGAACAAAAAAAAATATGAAAAAAAAACAAATGAAAAACTTTGGTGCTTCCGCACGCACTTTTGGCTTCGAGCTCGTAAAATATCCTCAGTAGAAACTCACAGTTGACCTCAAGACACATAATTTACTATTGCAATTTCGTCACTGTGCTGGAATTTATGGCCGAAAGTGAAGCTGACAGAATCATCAGAGCGGACAGTAAAAATGCATTTGCAGAGAGAAAGTTAGGGGGGACGAAGCAAAGCAACCAGTGTATGGCAAGAAACAAGCCTACCGAGCAAATGACGTAATGACCTTGCGACATACGCGTTGCCTGCAGGCGGGCTGAAGTTAAGAAACGCTTTTCCAACCGGGGAAAAATAAGGCACGGCTCCAGTGAGTCCGAACTGGTCCGCTGGGCAGTCCGACGCCGTCGCCTTCTCTACCCCCCCTCCCCCCCCCGTCATCTTATTTTTGCTTCTTTTTCTTGCTATCTTGCGGACTTGGTGGCCTTGTCGGCGCGTGGCGGTGGCAGCAGGGTTTCTGCCGCTCCTTAGCTCTATTAGCCGTTTTGAAGAACGACATGATTTTCTATGCATTTCTATATTTTATTCTGTTATTTTATTGCTTTCTGGCTTTACTATGTACGAGTGAGGCGCTGAAACTCGGTGGTAAACACATTTTCCACGTTCGTTCTGTTCTCCAGTACGAAGACAATTGCCATTTTGCCTTAATCTAGCTGCTGTTCCTATTTATATTTTCCCCTTGTCTCCTTATGTGTTCCAGTAGGTTTCCACCGGGGCAAGGACACGAGAACACATTAGTCATGATAGGCGTTTACGTACGGTGTATCATTTGTCGTTCGCGTCGTCGTTTCGGGGTATCGTGGTGGATTTCGTGCAATAGCTGATCGCTATAGAGTTGTTGTGACCAGTCACACGGATCCAGAATATCACTTCTGCAGACGCTATCCATCAGAAAGGTTTCTTCGCTTCGCCGTGAGCCTTAAGCACAAGTGCACAATTTCTCTCATCTATAAACGATTCCCCTGATAAAAGTTTCACCATCATCCCCTGAGGTAAACATTTCGCGCGTTGTACTTGGAACTAACACCAGGAAAGCATTGATAATTCCCGGTACACGAAACTACCGTCACTGAAATCGACCATTATGCATTGCTGGAAGTGAGTTTACCATGGCGGTTTGTGTTGTTTTCCCGCTATCGCTGAGAAAATTGCGGGCACGCGAATGGCGCGATTCGGCTGTTTCGTGCCATCCTTGAAACCGTTTGCCGCCTCGAATAAAAGTGTATAAGAATGCAGATACAGTATCAAGGCTACAACGCATACGTACGGAGCTTATGACTCACGCGAGAGTGATAGACGCCTCGCAAAATATGGCCAGAGCGAGATATGGTTTGCGCGGCGATAGTTTTTATACAGACACCTCGCGCTATGCAGCGTTGTGGCACTGCAGGCAACCGCGTAAAGCTTCAACGCATAGCAATGCAGAGTGGTTCCATTGCATGCAGACAACGCCGTTCTCACGGCTGCAAACAGGGCTCGGACGGTAGCTGATTTGGATCGATGAGTGAGGCGGGTTGTGTTTGTGCCTCTCTACGCGTTTTCTCCTCTTTCTCGGCCCCGTGAATTTATAGCCGGTACCCGCGGTCCCTCTATCCCAGGCTTCCGCGGGCCCTAAATTAGCCCCGTTCCGTTGTTTTTCGCCACGGCCGGACGAATGCGTTTCCTTTTTCCCGCGCTGATTTCTGTTCGTCGCGCTTGCCACCTGTTGCGCGTGCGTATTTATGACGAGACGGGCTTGGACTGCACGTTTTCCTTCTTCCGATTCCTTTCGCCGTGAGATCGTTCGTGGCCGCTGCTGTATACGTAGGGCTGATTTCTCCGAATTCCGGTGGCGCAAACGTGCTTATACGGCACATTTCGGATGCCGCCATGTCGACCTACCCGCACCGCTTAGACACGTGTGCCGCGATTTTTTAGAGAAACATCGCCTTTCTGTCATTATCCCGCTCGTCTTTAGAACTTGGCTCACGGTATAGACAATAGAGACACATAGGCAAAAAAGCGTTTATTTGTGGATTAGAGCGTGGAGGAGGGAAATGTTCCCTTTCTTCTCCTTGAGGTGGGCGCCTTCTTCGTTTAGGAATGAGTGGCTTTGGTTTTTACGGCTACTATGGTGCAATCAGTAAAACGAACACTTTCTGTGTGAACAATCTTCTAACTTTATAACGCGTTTAACCTTATTCTCGATCGCGATGCAGAATGCGCAAACTTAAAAAAAAATGCAATCAAACAAGAGCATGGCTGAATGATGGGTTGTACGTAGCAATCGTGCAATGTACGCATTATTGGTGACCAGTTTTTTTTTTTCTCTCTCTCTCTCTCTTGCACGGAATGAGATGCGTGCGAAAGCTCGTTCATTCTTTCTAAGCATCCTGCGTTGACGAAGTAACGCCAGGTCCTTATACTCATTCCCGATCAGACCCCGCCGCGGTGGTCTAGTGGCTAAGGTACTCGACTGCTGACCCGCAGGTCGCGGGTTCAAATCCCGGCTGCGGCGGCTGCATTTCCGATGGAGGCGGAAACGTTGTAGGCCCGTGTGCTCAGATTTGGGTGCACGTTAAAGAACCCCAGGTGGTCGAAATTTCTGGAGCCCTCCACTACGGCGTCTCTCATAATCATATGGTGGTTTTGGGACGTTAAACCCCACATATCAATCAATCAATCATTCCCGATCAGAAGCCGCCGGGCATCGAGTTGGGATTAAAAAAAAAAAAAAAACGTCGCGAGGTTCGTTCCGAGGGTTGAATCATGCTCGTCGAAGTTCCCGAGAAGGGGGAGTTTTGCTTTGTGTGCGTGCGCCCGAGCGCCACACGTGATTCAGCGCTTTGCCAGTGATGGGAGTCAGTTGCCCAATATGTGTCGCGCAAGCAAGACGCCGTGCGCACTGACCGGTGGCCAAGGCGCTCGTCGTCAGGGGCAGCGGAGCATGTTATGGCGGCGGAGACCGCTTTTCTCCGGACCCCTGCGTCGCCGCACCCGACCGTGGGGGCGAGCACTACAGTCTTCGAGAACAGAGCTCGCCTCGGTTTCGAAATGGAGTGGTCCCTTTGAAGCACTGCAGCCGAATTGGCTACTGCGGTGTAGCCATAGTCGTGCCCGGGACAGGCTGCGGAGGCGGGGGACCCTTTGCCTCCGCCTACTGTCAACTTGCTCCACCACGCTGACCGCGCAATTTCGGTCTCTCATGAAGGGCCACCAGGCTGCCTCAAAAGAGCACGGACATTATCTGAATGCATGCGTGACCGTTTGTTCACCGTGAAGGCGGTGGAGAGCGCGGCCGGCCGCTTGAGGACTTATGGATGCTGCGGGCGGTGGCACCACCTTGCGGACTTTTTTCATACTTTTCATCAAGTCATTTTGATTCCATTATTAATTTTTATAGCTGAGTTGTTATTGAAAGTAGAAATGCTCGGAAGTGTCCTGTACACACATTTTATTCTTACTAAGCGAATAGCATTCATGTCTTGGGCGGATATACGCTACTAGTAGGCATTCTGCGTGTGTATGCGTAATTTATATATTGCGCACAATTTTTGGGGCGAAGCTCTTAAAAGCGTCGGTCGTGTGTCCCCTGTATGTAGTGGCCACCTCTCGCTTTAGTCCTTGGAATTTCCGTTGGGGGGCGGCACTTGTATATGATGAATATAAGATGAAAAGGTGCGAGGTGGCAGTACTTGGAGTGTTTCTTCACTAGATGGACGGACGGGCAGACTTAGACAGGCAGACATCCGGACAGACGACAGACAGACGGATAGATGGACAGGTGGACGGAAGGATGGACATACATACATACATATATACATACAGATGGACGCAAGCACGGACGAACAGACGGGCGCAAGCACAGACGGAAATATACAAGCATGGAGGGACGGATAAACGTTTCGCCCCACTCATCATCACTTACTGCATGGATATGCTGTGATTTTTTTCAATGCTATCAGCATTGGCATCTGTAAATTGCTAAGAGGAGTTCGGGGCTTGGCAGTAGGTCAAGATTTGCAGGACATCCTATTATCTAGTGTATGCTGAAGTTGGCCATGCGCTGAAGCATGTTCCTATACTTCCAAGTGCTGCCATTCCAAACACTCGTGTCAAAGACACACAGAACGCGACCTGGGTGCCATCAGGCACCTGTGAAAGTTTTCCCCAACGTCAACAGCAAACTTTTTCCGTGATTCTCATGCATTCAAGGCTTTCATGCTTTTCATGTACAGTTGGCCAGCCTGTCATACTCAAGCTCACATAGCGATTTGGTCAAACATATTAACGTAAAGGATTATGGCTCACTTCATTTATTTTTGTTTTGATAAAACAGAAACGTAAAGGACTAACTGATATTCATATGCTGTGCTGACGCTATATAGACAGCGAAAGCATTGAACATTGATGCATGTCACTGTGTGGATGCATCAATGTTCAGTCCCTATGAACTTCTGTCTTCTGTCCTTATGAACTCAATATTTTACGTGACGAAGTTCTGCATATAATGTCTTTGTACTGGAGGCAAAGTAGCAATTTTTATGGAGTTGATTTTTTATTCAGTGAATTTTCTTTGAAATATAGCGCGAGTAGCAAGTTTACTTTCTGGTACATTGTGCGGACAGTATGGTTATAAATGAAAGGGTGTGCGTCACATAGGCTTTCATGAGCTTTATTGTGCGATTCTACATCACAGTTATTGAACCTTTGGTTCTCCCGATTATTTTAGGTCATTTCACGTATTCAGGTATAACTGTCCCCTGTTCGAAACCTTAGTGAAGTGTGGTGCTGTTTCGTACAAAAACGTTCACAGTACAGATCTCATGAGTCTGCAGTTGCCCGACAGAAACACAGTTCTTTTCCACATTTGTGCAGGAGGCTACAACCACATAAGCGAGAGCCTTCACACGTTGAACGACATGAACCAGGAGGAGATGGCGCTTGGTGGCCACAATTCCTATGACGAGTCCCAGGAGTACGGGCTCGAGACACCTCAGTCGCACCCACCCTACTTGGACTCAAGTCCGGAGTTCTACCCTTCTACGTCCGCTGTTGTGCACGAATCAAAGTTCCAGCCCGCATACACGACAAGCAAGGAGTTTTCCAGGCGTAAGTGTTACTGCCATTTCACTGGCCCAGTTTTTGAATTGGCGAACTGACCCCCAAAAGTTGTATGGGTAACATTGACTTCCAACATGCCTCGCCGTCTTTAAGAGAGACTTATCCAAAATGACAGTAACTTTGAAGGTTATATGGGTAATATTGCCTTCTACATGCCGCGCCGTCTTCAAAAGAGACGTATTGTAAACGACAATAACTTTGAAGGCAATAGGCTTTCTTCTGCCAGTAACATTTTTTTTAATAGAAAAATAACTGTTGGTCTATATGGTTTCACGTTTAGAAGAGGTAAATCAGAGCAACAAAAGAAAATGGACAAAACAAACACAAAGACAAGTGTTTATGATTGTTTACTTGTGTCAGTTGAGATTTGTTAGGCTCATTTGCACCTGACACACACTGCCTGACACACATGGAATTGATGCTTAAGAGGATCATCAAGATGTATGCGTATATTGCACTTAGGTAATAATGAGAGACACGCTTGTACTTCAAATGATTGTTCTTCGCTGCACCATGAGATGTGGACCGCATGACCGCATATATATGATATCAATAAATTATTTTATTATATAAAAGAACTGCATTAGATTCTAATGGGACTGATGAACCAACCTAGTGAGATTTGAGAAGTGTAACTTTGAACGGACATAGGAGCTACATATGCCAGGAAAAGAAAACGTACCACACACATCTTAGCCGATGTTCTTTCACGCACATAGGTAAGTATCTACTGTAGAATATGCGTACCATCACCAACCTTCACAAACGTGACATTATTTGACTGTTTGATGACATTTCCACTTTCCCAGCTCTCAAGAGCAGCTCTCAGTTCTTCTACTGATGCTCGGTTTCTAATGTTGCCTACGTTTCTATTCCCCAAATCCAGCGAGGTATTCTCATCATGACATGGGCCTCCCCGAGCGCTATCCGGGTGCCCATCACTACGAGCCACCCTTCCAGACGGTGCCCACGGCCGTTCAAAGCGCTGCTGACCACTGGGCAGCGGCCGCCGCGGCCCACCAGAATGGCGTGGCAGCTGCCGCCGCAGCCGCAGCCGCAGCCAACGGCGGTGTGCCACCGCCGCACCACCATCACCACCCATCGTCATTTGGACCTTTGCACGGGCTTCGCGTCGACGGTCCTCTGGCCCACCTGAGCCCTGGTGCGTTGCAGCGATCGCACCTCGGCGCCGGCGGCGACAGCAAGCCTGTCATCCAAGCGGCCGTTTTAGCAGGTTATTCTGGTGTGTCCTTGGACTAACCCTCGCCGTTCTGCTTGCTCGTGGAAGCGATAAAGTCAGGCGATGTTTCTGCCTCACATCTTTTTCACTAGATGTGGTTAGATAATGCAATTTATTATTTCTAATTGTTCTGTACATTGAGCGAGAGAAACTCATCCATGTTGCAACTCTTGGACTAATACCTTAGGCTTACCTAAATTTTTTAGGGTAAATACTAACTGAAAAACTATGCGCTCTATACTGATTGATTGATATGTAGGGTTTAACGTCCCAAAACCACCATATGATTATGAGAGACGCCGTAGTGGAGGGCTCCGGAAATTTTCGACCACCTGGGGTTCTTTAACGTGAACCCAAATCTGAGCACACGGGCCTACAACATTTCCGCCTCCATCGGAAATGCAGCCGCCACAGCTGGGATTCGAAGCCGCGACCTGCGGGTCAGCAGCAGAGTACCTTAGCCACTAGACCACCACGGCGGGGCATATGCGCTCTATACTGTTGGTTAGATTAAATTTATACCCTTTTCTGGCAAATAATATGTCTCTGGTAAATTATTGCTGCCATTGAAAATAACCAAGACATATATTGTAAATATCATAGAATTCTTGCTGGCTAGTGATTTTTGAAACTACTTTTGTGGGGCAGTATCTCAAGAAAATTAGGCATACTTATTGCTCTGTGGCCTCTGAACATTAAAGAGAAGCTATTTTTACCCTACGTCAACATTTTGTATTTTTTCACAAAGACAATAAGATAAAGTTTCACTCTGTAATAACTTTAAATGACATTTTGCTAGAAACCTAACAAAGAATCTGCTTTGTGAAATCAGGTAAAAAATTGCGCTGAAATAGAAAGGACACCACAAAGAAGGAACACTTAAACAGATCGAGCGCAATCTGTTTAAGTGTTTAAGTGTTGCGCTCGATCTGTTTAAGTGTTCCTTCTTTGTGGTGTCCTTTCTATTTCAGCGCAATTTTTTACCTGAATAGAATGAACCAACTAGCCCCTCAAGACGTCCTGTGAAATCACATGTTATTGATAGTCATGGGCCCCTAAGCTAGTTGATTTGTTCAGAGAGATACAGTATATCTTCTTTGTGAACAAAGACTTGTACACCGAGCTAAAGCGTAAAGGTTTGCAGCAATCTCAATCTGTTGAAAATAATGTGCTTACATAGATCTTAGATTCAGTACAGCCCCGGTATGAATGACAATATTATGCTTTAATTAGGTATAATAATTGCTTAATAAATGACTTCTTATTGTTTTAGCTCAGGTATGTCTATTTTTGCATGGCCAGAGATCTATTTCGGCTGTCCCCTTTATATGTGCACATTGTGAAACAGTTTGTAGAGCGCTTATTACATTTTGTCACTCAGGCATGCACCCACCTTAGAGCTTCGCATTTCTTTTTACTGCAGTGTTTGAAGGCCCTTTGCTTTTGTGCATGGCTTTAGCTGTAAATGGAATGCTACATGGATGAACTTTGCTCTTGGCTCTGCTTTTTGAAGCATTTTTCACTTGGTATCTTCTTGCCTTCGAAATTTGTGCTTGTAAATTCTCCTTTCCCGCTTCCCGCTTCCATAGCAAACAGAATGGTGTTGAAGTGACTCAGAATGATGCTGTGAATCCCAGGCTGATTGCAAAGATATTGCGCTTGTACTGTTAGAAATTTTGTGCTAAAAACTTCGGCAAACATTTTTCATAAAGGCAAACTCGTGAATTATCAAATATCTGTGGTTGGGCAACAATATAGCAACAGGCTGAGTCACTTCTACTGTCGTTCTAACTCACACCGTGTCATGACGTTTAATTACTGATCACCAAAATTGTTGTGCTTCACATGCATTAAAGTTTGAGGGCTACTCGAACAAATTTGAGTGTGCTAAAATATGCATTATTATCTTGTCAGCATCATAAGATTAGGAAGACTGATAAGATATCGAAATTAGCGAATAATGTAAGATAGGCCAAGTTGATTATCTACGACCACACTGCTTCATCATACAAGAATCGTGAACCCCTTATATCTATGTTATATATATGGTGTCTCTGAACTTCAAATATTAGGTCAAAACTTTTAAAAGAGCTTGCACAATAGAGGCACTATGCACTATTGTGCTGACGAATAATAAAGCTGCTTGTATGCACTTAATTATTCTATAACAACTCACCATAAACGAAATGCAAAATAAATAGCATTATGAGGGTTGTACTGATTCCATGAATATCTTCATCCATGCCGGTTTGCAGCTCATTTTGTTGTAATATCCTTCATATGGCTACAGCATGGCAGCAACTTTGAGCGCTTCCAGTTGGCCCGTCACAGTGGTTTCAGTGCATGCGTCAACCACATGTGAAAGCGGCTTGAACAGATACAATCTCCCTCTCTTGCAAATACTGTGTTATTTGCTTGTATTGATATAAAAACACACTGACTCGACTTATTAAAAAAAAAAACATAGCTCTGATTTGCACGAAAGTCTCTTCATAAATGTAATGCAAAAAGATTCGTTAAAGTATTAAAAATATAAGAGCTTAGATTTATTATATGATAAAGATTTTGAGCGGGATGGCACTGACTCATGATGTAGAGCAACCTAGACTTACTTTATCAGGGATATCCTAAATATGGTCTTTCTTAGATGATGCTATGCTGGCACATACTAGTAACATTGCAAGGTGGTCAGCTTTTTGCTATTTTGCATAGTAATGTGATCACACAGTCAAATAAATTTACTGATCTCCTTTTCTATATTTCTTATTTTCTTATTGTATCACAGGAAGTGGACCAATCCAGCTTTGGCAGTTCCTACTTGAGCTCCTCACCGACAAGTCCTGCCAAGGGTTCATCAGCTGGACAGGTGATGGCTGGGAGTTCAAGCTTACTGACCCAGATGAAGTGGCCCGGCGTTGGGGTGTCAGAAAAAACAAGCCGAAAATGAACTATGAGAAGCTTAGCCGAGGTCTACGCTACTACTATGACAAGAACATCATTCACAAAACTGCTGGAAAGCGCTATGTGTACCGCTTTGTGTGTGACCTGCAGACGCTGTTGGGCTACACGCCTGAAGAACTGCATGCTATGGTCGAGCTGAAGCCAGAGAAGAAAGATGAAGACTGAGACGATCAGCTTTCATGCAGGATTTTGTTTCTTTAAGTGACTTTCACACAATCTGAGTTCATCATCAGAGGTGTTGGTGATGCAGGTTCTACAGCACGGACTCACTGGACGGATTCCTGCTCAACCAGTGTGGGAGTGTGTGTGTGTGTGTGTCTCCTGACGTATGCTATGAGATAAGAGACTCTTTATGAAAGCACAAACATTTTAATAAAGATAAAAAGTGTTTCAAGGAGCCTTTTCTTAGACGTAATGAAGCATAAGAATCGCTGGCAGTCTTCATACCCCGCCGCCTGCAATACCGAGGTTACCTTTGTCTCATATGGAGTTGAAGCCTTAACCTTGCTCAAGCAATTCATATTTCCATCAAATCTTCTTCCTGCCCAAGTGAGGCAGGCGGACGGCACTTCCCAGCTGTCGACTTCAGTAGTTCATGTATTTTTGTTTGTGTGTTGAAAGTTGAACGTATTGCTGATATGTTAATACATTTTCAAAGAAATTGTCTTAGCACTTCACATTTCAACATGCACCAAAGCGGTGTACTATGCAATCAATGTTGATGAGTGAAATGACAGTTGCTTTTTGCAGTTATATTGTGCCCAGAGACGAACGTATTCCCAATGTTCTGCAAAGTCAAATCTTTACAACATGTTCTATTCTTCAATTTTATGTCTTTATTTGCTTAATGTGCTTCATGTAGTGTATGCACAATACTTCTGGCTATAGTTTTCTACCCAAATAACAAAATTATGTGAATACAAATGGCTTTGAATAATTTGCAGAGAGGTGTATCAACGGTGGGCTGCACTTCGAGAAGTTGAAGTTCTTTCTGGCATTAAGCTGTTTCTTTTATTTACCATGACAGTTTTCTAAAGTGAAAAAAAAACAAACCGATATCTAGCGACGTTGCTGATTCACTGTGGCAGCTGTAATCTCTGAAACCATAGTGCATACAATCAATTACGTTGTTTTGTTAATTTCAGCTAACAATTTCTTTATAAATAGTTAGCTGAAAACAGCCAATTTTTCAAAACAAATGTTACCGTAGTCACTTATTCTAATGAGCCATCATTTTTATTGTCTCAGTGTTTCTCTGGTAAAAGTTACATCATGCACATGATTCTTTCATGTTGAAGCGCCTCCTAAAAAAAGCTCATTATATTTGTCGTGAGCAAGAACTATTAGCTAAGATCAACATTGCCAAGTACCTTTTTCATCTTTTATCTTTGTTTTATTGTGTGTTAGTCACGAAACGTTATTATAGTCATAAACAGGATGTGCTTTTTTTCTTTTTTTTTCTTGTTGAAACTACAAAGCAAGAAAGATACAGCAAAAAGCCAAAGTAGTTCACTGTCTCATCTGTTTGCTCTTGGCAGTTGTCTGTTTTGTTGCACATGACATTAGCATTTTGTCATTTGTTTTTTTTGTGCTTGTAACTCTGAATACCTGCCTGTTGGTGACAGCAGTTGCCGTTTGCGTTGTCATGCTGCACATCATTTTTCAACTTGCTTAGACTTGTAAATAAATACATGTATATTACAAGCATGAAATTTTACTTCATGAACGTATTTTATTAGTAACAGCTTGATACATTGTGCGGCATTTGTGAGACATGAGGAATAATTATACATAAGATGACTTTAGGACAGAAGATATATAAGAATTGTGCATTTTTCTGTGTGCAGATGAACTGCCCAGAAAAATAGTGGATGTGCATTTGCTATTGCTATGGTTTTTGTTGTTCATGTGATGTGAATGGCTCCCCCTTGATGTATCCAACAGCGAAAGACAAGCATCTACAGTGTTTCTTTTTCGCCTTATAAATGGTGTCCCCATACATAACACATGTTGAAACCAGTTTTTCTCCCTTGAAGTAATTTATACTTGATTAAACAATGTGGATGCTTCTCTTCAAAGGAAGTGTACAAAAAGTATTAGGAATGTGTGCCGCCAGTATTTTGTCATACGCGAACGTTGTGGAAGCCGTGCCTTAATTTGTTTGTCTTCCAAAGAAGATTTACATATATTTATACAAAGCAAAATTTTTATATGTTTGTGCGGCACGTTCCAAGTTGGAAGTGCAATGCATGAACGGGCATGTTTCCCTTTTCTACTTCATGCCTTTTTTTCTTTAATGTTCTCGCATCTTTTATGTGTCACCCATTTAACGCTGTGCGCCAGCCTTTGTAAATTATTTCCAGAGGTCTCTATGCTTTTGTCTCGGCATGAAGAGATGATCTTTATTACTATATCTTTCTTCACTCTACCTTTGTTCTTGTCATTTTTTCTTTTTTGTTCAAAAAACGTCTGAAGTGCAAGATCTCAATAAAGAAGAAAGCATTACAAACTGCCCCACTTGAAGGATCACTCCGATGGGGACATAGTGACATCTTGTGATCTGCTATCTTCACATATATTTTTTGCAGACTTGTTTGTAATGTGATTCATTGTTCTCTTGTTTGCTTTATTTCAAATGCAATGTGCGACTTCTGTGGTCTACAGGAAATAAAATGCACAGACGATTTTGAATTTTTTTTCATTTTTTCTAGCCTGAGATACTGAGCAGTGGGAAGGGGCTGGTGTCCTGAAATGGCATATGCAAGTTTTTTCTTCAAAATAATTAATAGTAGTCATATGTTAAAAGTATTGGAATATGTGAGATTTACCTGCATGTGACAAAGAAATTGCTCATATTTCGTATTCATTCGCTGTCCCTGTCAAAAGTGGTGCTGTCGAAAACATGACAACTACCAGTTTAAGGCCACTTGCAGTCCTCGTCGATCTGCGCAAAGCTCTTGATATTATAATCAATTCTGTAATAAATATCATGAATGAGCAAAGGGTCTCGTGGATCAAGTCGTGGGGAACACATTTGATACTGCACTCTCCAGGTGAAAGGTTTCCCCAATCTGAACAATCGGAAAATGATCGCTAAGGCACCTAGATAAAACAGCATGCAGTTGGCCTAATGTCAAAATATTTTGATGTATATTGTTCATTGGCGTGGCCAAAATTTGTTTATGCCCCATTCAATGCCCTATGCACTATTCCAGGCAAGGACATGTAGCCCTCCCACACACACAATTTGTATTTCTCGAAATAAAACACTGGATGCACTCCTGATGCATACTCATACACCTATTAGGGACTGCCGTTCTTCTGATAAATATTGGCTTCGATTTATTATGAACAGTTCGACGTGATAGTCCTATTATTCTTGCTAGCCTTGGGTACAATAAACCAAGGTTCCCTTGCTGTAACTCTGATAGAACACTAAAAAGGACTATTGCATTAATTTATGCGCTAATATATAAGAGTAATACAGTCAAGAGTCCGACGGAATCCCATCTGGTCGGGGGCAAACATAGTGCAAAATAACAAAAACGCCGACCAAGGTGAAATACACAAAAGTTAAAACAACGTTTGGGCTCCCCACACGGGAGCCTTGTTCACAGAACTGTGAACAAGGCTCCCGTGTGGGGAACCGAAACGTCTTTTTAACTTTTGTGCATTTTACCTTGGTCGGCGTTTTTGTTATTTTGCAAAAGAGTAATACATAACCTGGTTGGTCTATTAACGGTAAGGTCGCTGGAGCTATTTGTAAGTGCGCGTTCTCTCCCAATTTTACGAGAATCGACAAATATGTGTTCTTTGAAACATTTCGTTGACAATGTTTTCTTGATTATGAGATGTTTTACTAAAAACGTGTTAGACGATGGACACACAGAAGTTGCCGCGGCCTTAGTTAGTCGCAAGTAGAAAAAAGTCTCAGTTTCATCGCAAGGGCGAAGCAATGAATGCAATAGCAAGCAATTAGAACGCCACATGAAAACAAAAAGCAGCTCAATATTTGCAGTGCGCCCTTGAAGCACGAAGAAGCATGCACAGGAATACTACACAGGACAAGCGAGAACGAACTGTCAGAGCTGTTACAAGTGTCGACAATGCAGAAACCGGCTCTCTCTCTCTCTCTCTCTCTCTCTCTCTCTCTCTCTCACACACACACACACACACACCTCGGCTGGATTTTGCCGCTGGCGTCGCAGTCTCTAACCAATTGATTTGTGGGGTTTAACGTCCCAAAACCACCATATGATTATGAGAGAAGCCGTAGTGGAGGGCTCCGGAGATTTTGACCACCTGGGGTTCTTTAACGTGCACCCAAATCAGAGCACACAGGCCTACAATTATTTCCGCCTCCATCGAAAATGCAGCCGCCGCAACCGGGATTCAATCCCGCGACCTGCGGGTCAGCAGCCGAGTACCTTAGCCACTAGACCACCGCGGCGGGGCGCAGTCTCTAACCAAACACAAGCACAAACATACATTTAAATAATTCAAACCCCCCCCCCCCCCCTGCTAAGTATGCAAAAAAAAAAAAAGAACTCTTTCCTTCCTCCATGAAAGAACTACATAATGCTGGAAACTCCGGCTTCTTTAGAAACCATAAACTACAAACTGGGAATAGCTCTCCTGGTTGTCATGTGCATTATTACTACAAAGAACTGAAAAAACGAAATTTCGAACGTAAGTTTGTTTTTGTCTTCATTATAATACCTTGTTATAATCATAATACGACGTTAATTACTGACCCTTTATTTCATTCGTTGCGTATTATGGAGTACCCCGCACTTTATTAAAACACTCAAAGGAACAATGAAACCTACAAATCTTCAATAACCTAATAACTGACGCAAGAAGTGTGCTGCCATCTATTGACGTTTTTATATGACTTTTGGTTGTTGTTTAGAAAGTTTCTCCGGTAGGTGGCAGAACATTTCCTCCACGATGCAGGTAGAATATTAATATACTGGACTCGAAATTAATGACATTTGAAGAGCGCGACCAATCTATGTAAAGAAATATTGGGGAAAAGCCTTCCATGAGATTAAGAAAAGTATTTGCACTCATAATGATGTTCATGGTCTGCCTTTATTGGGCACTCTAAAAAAAATAAAAGAGCGAGTAAAAAGGGTGTCTTTTTGTCCCACAACAATAATCGTCATCTATATTGCGTTCCATCCTTGCGCTATCGCCCCACGCCCGGTACATTCCGGTCACGATCGACATGCCCATTATCAGGGTTACATTGCATTCTCGGTAGGAAAGTGGCCAGCGCCGAGTTTTCAAGAAAGGAAGTGCATGCAAGTCTGATGACGATTATTGTTGTGGGACAAAAAGACACCCTTTTTACTCGATATTTTTTTTAGAGTGGGGGAAGGGGGAGGGGGCGAAGGTCAATCGCTGCGTTGATGCTGATTATCTAGCACGCTGATCGTGGTACTAAACTTGTTAGACTCTTATTTTCGTACAAGTCAACGCCATCGCATGTAAGTCAAACTCACGTCGACAAGGTCCTTTCAAACACTAGGGTGCGAAAGCCACGAGACGCAACGTGGTCTTGCATATGCTTGCACATCCTTGCATGTGCTTCGAATTTCGTCACAAAGCACTTCACAAAGGAAACTTCCATAAAGGCACTAGTGACATCTGAAATCGTGCCATAAACGCCGCACGTATTGAACTTACCAAGCAGAGGACTGTGAAAAAAAAAAAAAAAAAAGGTGTCATGGCGCTGACGCAACATAACGGGAAAGAGATGGAGAAAACAACACATGTGCTGGATATAGACGTCCGTGCGCTTGTCCCGGTTAAGACTGCGTAGAAGCTGCCGTGTTACTCAACTCCACTAATAGTGACGCGATGACTGCATCGTGTTGCCCTTACTAGAGGACCCTAGGGGGAAAAGAAAAGAACATGTCATGGTCCTTAATGTTATTTGGGAAGCTTAGTGGCACCAACACCACCTTCAGAAGCGCAGATTTGTGTTCAGCACGGTGGTGTATCAATAAGGAATCTTGCGTCTTAAGATACCTGATACGTTATTTCATGTATTATATATATATATATATATATATATATATATATATATATATATATATATATATATATATATATATATATATATATATATATATATATATATATATATATATATATATATATATATATATATATATATATATATATATATGGGAAACAAGAGTATACTTAAGGGCTTGTTTTTCGTGTTTTTACACAATAATAATGAGATCTAACAGACAATAATGCCAAGGAAGGTATAGGGAAGTTATTAGGCCAATTGTAATGTAAATGAGAAGAAAGAAAAGTGGGTGAAAAGATAACTTGCCGTGGGCAGGATCCAAACCTGCGACCTTCGAATAACGCGTTCAATGCTCTACCACTTGATCTACCACGACAGCTATCCCCCCAGCCACTTTACTGGGTATGTATGTCAATTTTAAAAACGTGGGAGTGTCATTCAGCGCCTCTAGTAGCCATGGCGGCGAGTGTAGCACACTCTTTATGAGCCTGTTTGGCGTCACGTAGCACGTAAACTTATTACGAACTGGCAGCTGACGAATAGTGCCTCGTATACAACCTAAAGGCACCAAGTCTGCCAGTACGAGACCCTCGTTAATGAATAAGGGAAACAAGTGTATACTTAAGGGCTCGTTTTTCGTGTTTTTACACAATAATAATGAGATCTAACAGACAATAATGCCAAGGAAGGTATAGGGGAAGTTATTAGGCCAATGGTCACAAGTCCGGATCCTGCCCACGGCAAGTTATCTTTTCACCCACTTTTCTTTCTTCTCATTTACATTACAATTGGCCTAATAACTTCCCCTATACCTTCATTGGCATTATTTTCTGTTAGGGAGGAAGAAGAAGTTGTCACAGAGAACAGCCTCTGCTTCGAGCTCTGCGAGTTTTCTAGTTCTTTTGCCTAGACTTTTCAATAATCGACACACCTCGAAGGGGCGTTCCCCCTTAGAATGGGGGATCAAAACCCCCTCCAGCAACCGGGACCGGGCCGACCACATCATAGTGCGTCTGACACAAGTTCTCACCCCGGCCCAAGCGTGGTCCACGTTGAGAATTCTGATGACTCCTCCGTTGAAGATATGGCTTCGGACAGTGACTACGTGGTCGTACCAAGCCGACGCCTGAAAAGGAAAATCAGCCGGACATCGCCGACTGGCTGGCAAGCACAGACAAAGGCGAGTAGCATGCGGTCGTACACCATTTCGTATGTGCCGACATCGAAGACAGACAACTTGAACTCTCTAAATAGGCAGAGCCTGTCGGAGTACTTTGAGCTCGTCGCTCCAGGGAAAGTCGTAGAAATACGCAGAAATACCCGAAAGAACATACTGTCCGTAGAAGTCACTACGAACGCTTTATTGGACACGCTGAAAGCGATTGTCCGATTAGGAAACATTCCGGTACGCGCATTCTCCGCGTATGATGAAGACACGACAACAGGAGTTATATACGATGTGGATGAAAAGATAACAGACTCGAGTCTCGAGAAACTGCTGTCATCGTCGGCTCCCGTGCTTCGTTTCCACCGCTTTGGACGCACGCGATGTGTTAAAGTAGTGTTTCAGTCGAAGACGTTACCCACACATGTAAAAGTTGGGTACGTGAGGCACTTGGTACGTCCTTACGTACCAAAACCTCTG